AATGCATGGTTGGCAAGCATCCTACCGCTAAGCTATCGGTGCTGTTTATTAACTTGTCTAAGTTTTGTCTAAGTCATTCCTTCTGTAGTCCACATGACGTATCCAAATTTAAGGTGTGATCTTTGTTCGGATTACATTTTCAGGTCTATCCACAACAGCTTCTGCAATAAGACCTGATATGGGGGATCCCACAGGTGTCCCTCACTTTTATTCTAAATCTCAAGTTTTTTTTCAATTGCCTACAAACTCAACAATACTAAAAAAAATACAAATTACAAAAAAGATTTTTTGAGCACACTTTCTTCGCCCTGACAAGGACTAAATACTTAAATTATTAAGGGGTTAAAAGCGGTGACTATTTATAAGATAATTAGACGAAAAGTCCTAGAGAATGACAGACTTCAAAATTGTGGATTGAAACAAAGCTTTACTTGAAAGAATGCATCAGTAAAAGTAGTTTACGCGTTTTTTATGGAAAATATTTTTGTAAAATAGCAAACAACATTAAGGTGAGTGACGTTCAGATGAGAGAACTGCAATTTTCAAATTATTCTCATACATAATCAGTCCTCATAACTCTTAATAAGTTATCAGCTTACATCGTTCTGGACTAATGTTACTTACAATTCCTATCAATCATTCCTTGTCATCACCCCCCAAAAAATGTGTTCAAACCCGTTTTGCATTTTTAAGGTTTTAGGCAGTTAAAAAATAAAGAATCCTCAAAATTATAAAAAAAAACAATGAGCTCATATCTACCCTGACACACACATTTATTATTCTTGACTCGTGTAAAGTTTCACTAAAATATCTATGTGAAGTGATTGGGAGGCATTTGGCAAACAGACGTGGAACTACATTTAATGTTGAGTGGCACTCATTAGCAGGGCATAGTATGAGGGATGAACTAACTAACTAACCTTCTTTGCACTAGTAAGTAAACCATCTTCTCTCTCCTGAAACCACCAAGCTTTATTGTTATTGTTCATCTTATATTTACAATCCTCTTAATTTTTTTGTTTTGTTTATTTTCTCGTAAGTGTAAACATCATTTAAGCTGTGTAATACTTGTTACTTTTTGACTTTCCCCTCACCATGCCATATCGACAGGACGTTAGATTCAGTAATCTGTAGAAAATGAAAACAAGTGATTCAGCGAAGAGACTCTTTTCAACAACGAATTTATCATCAAGCTGTACAATCGTATGCATGTACTTGCTTTTTAAGAAGTTATATCCGATGAGGGAATTGAATCTTCGGTGTGAATGCATAAAATAATAATAATAGTATGAAATGCAATTAAAACTAAAATGTTTTCCATTTTTTTCATTTTGTTTAGTCAATTTGTATACTCTTCCTTTATTAGGTCAGTGGTTACTATTACTATTCTCACTTTTAATTGTCCCCGGTATTATTTCACTTGTTCCACTTGTCATTCTAAATCAATTCTTCTTTATTACAACGTTAAATTCTATGCTATCAAATTTCACACAATATTACGTAACATTTTTATTTTATTCGATTTGTCTACCAATCCTATAATTGCACATCCTTTCTCAAGTTCTATCCATCCTGTGAATTATTCTATATATGACATTAATTGTTTTGCCACTTGACATTTAACTACGATTATAATCACAAACATTATAGTTTTAATTGTATTTCATATTATTATTATTATTATTTTATGCATTCACACATATGATTTAATTCCCTCACCGGATATAACTTCTTAAAAACCATATATATGCATACGATTGTACAGCTTGATGATAAATTCGTTGTTGAAAAGAGTCTCTTCGCTGAATCACCACTTGTTTTGATTTTCAATAATCTATAACATGCTAAAATTTCCAAACTGAACCAACAATACTGTTTGAAACAAGCGCACTGTTATTGTTATTATTATTATATTTATTTTATTCCCATATTTTACTTCGAATATATTTGACTTTATTCCTACCGTAAATGTGGAAATATTCTTCTGGTTAACTTTATTTATATTTTGAGTAAATCAGATGCAATATTGTGACAAATGCTGAGAATTCCATTATGGGTAAAATTTATTTGAATGAAGTCATATACAGTGGTGTTATATAGTAATATTTACTGGTGACTACGTTACGTGCACAATTTATTACTACTGCTCATCGTCATCATATCAAGGTACTCACTCACACAACTTTCTAACTTCGTTTACAGAATTCCGTCATTTTCATCTCTTCATTTGATTGGTAGTAGTATTTTCCATATTTCCGGTATGAGCGATTAGTCATTCTTATTACACGTGTTGGGTGTAGACTGGATGAACAAGGATTCAGTAACCAATCTCGCTCTCCACCTACATAGATTACTTCTTAGAATTTCAACCCTCTCCCACTCTATTATATGATTGTGTGTTAATGCATGCACTGCAATTGCTGAGTTTATTTTCTCTAAATTACTTATCTTTGTGGGTGGGATCAATCATTCTAACACCTTAAGTGAATTCTCATGTTCTGACAACCTGACTACTGCCCACCTCTACTAGTTTGACTTGCCTATTTAGTTGACTTAATTCACATTGTCATTGCAAGGTGTTTTGTAAATCAAATTATTTTGTCTAATTGGGTGAACCTACCGGGGTTTTTTAACCTGCATAGCTTTTCCTATCTCAGTGGGATTGTAGGTTTGAACGCCACCACCCTAATTTTTGGTTTATTGAGAAACCTACGCAGAGGGGATCTCAGATGTCCCTTCCTTACACGGAATAACAGTATATGACTTATATTCTCTCTTACTTATGTTATCATTATCATTAGTTCCACCCTTATTTTTATTTTGCTTTTGGCCTTTTCTGGTCTTCCTAACGAATTTTATCGGACAGATAGTTATTTAACACCTAAATTGTGCTCAAAAGGTGGTCATCAGTAAATATTACTTTATAACAAACACAGTATGAGACTTTATCAAAATAAAATTTTACCCTGTAATGGAATTAAATCCCTAACAGCCAAAAATAGTAGAAGGCCAAGAGTTTATTCAAGTCATCGACCGAGTAATTTTGACATACGTACCAAGGTCTATCTGGTCAACACAAACAAGGCATTTCTGTTGGGTAAAATTAGCCACACCAGTTTCAACAACTAACTTCAGATACAATTCTTTGGCGAGTTGACTCTCGTGACTAACTTGCCAAGTGGAAGAAAATCACTGACAAGTAATCTGCAGCCTCAAAGGATCTGATATCCCCTCAGAGATATATACTCAAATCACCCAGAGCTGACAGCATTCAGCCACCATCATCCAGAAGGAGTAAGCCCATGACAAGGGGTAATTTACTCCCTGAAATAACTGATCATCAGTGTATCTTGAATATCTTTCGATTGAATAACTGACATCACTAATGTGCATCCCAAATGATATAAACAGATCAAGTAATATAAAAATCAATTACTGATTTATACAGTGTCATCTGAGTTCATTACCATTGAATGCAGGAATACAGGAATCACTCTTTCAACTTTTATAAATGAAGCAATTAGACAAATTCAGCCTTTTTTTCAGAAAGTCAATGTTTCTCCTTGATAAGTCAATCAACGTGAAATTGATGGAAGTGATTCGGTATAAAAACTGTGGCTCAGAGTTTTTATCAAGTGTTTATAAATATTTAACACGGGATAAAATACAACTTCAGTATAGATAAGATTTTATTTTGATAAATCACACACAGTGTTCGTTATACAGTAATATTAACTGATGATCACGTTTCGAGCACAATTTATTGCTAGTGCTCATAATCATATAAAGGCATTACTCACACAACTTTTTACTTCATTTATATACATGAGTAAAATTGATGATTAGACATTTGAATAAAATCAGTATAGGATAATGTACATTCAGAAATAATAATATGAGTGTTATTGATCAAATACAATCAGATGGGAAATAAGACGAATGTTCTTATAGTTATAATAAGTAATTTGTTGGAATGTTGTGATTTGCTTGAATTGAAATAGAATTTTGAGATTATTTACTATCCTCCGGTGGTAATAATATCTTCCATATCTCTGGTATTTGTTGCGTTGAGTCATTTCTCTTGTATGTGTTGGGTGTAGATTCAATGAACCAGGATTCAGTAATCAGTCTCTCTCCACCTAGCAAAATCTAGATTAGTTGACCCTGAGAAGATAAGCAATCTGGAGAACAGTCCAGCTATGGCACCCATTACATTCAGTTACACAACCACACAGTAGGATAGGATAGGATGACAGTTTTAAAATCTAATGTAACAGGGTGGTGGTGGGGGAGATTGATAACAGAGGCAAGCTTTGTTTATCGAATCAACTGCAAATACTTGTAATAGGAATGATTCAATACCTGTCCAGCTGGGTATCTGGAAAATTCGACTACCCCTACGACGACAAATAGGAGAGGACAAAGAAAACTATCAAACTCAAGTTTCAAAGTCGTGTGATTATCACTGATGATATGATTATGAACAGTAATAAATTTTGTTCGAAACGTTGTCATCGAGTAAATAATACTGTTTCACTGTGTGATACATCTAATAAACAAACTAAAATGGAATTTTGTCATTAATTGGCAGAAGTTAGAATTCATGGGTTGGTGAATGGATTGGGTCGCAATGGCTTAATGGTCTACGAGTTGGCTAGACTTGACTCCAGAATGTCCTGTGTTCGAAAACCACTAGAATGGGTGTGTACTAATGAAGAGTCCCAAACTAGGGCGAGACAATTAGGACTTTTGTTTTGATATTTCATATAATCCTTGAGTTTAGTGTTTAGCCCCTATCAACCTAGTCTAATTTATTATCCAGTAGTAGGCCGGAAAAAGACAGAAGGCTTGGTGTTATGCTAACATCCTTACTCTGTAAAAACAACACAACAGCCGCGGTAACTTCAAAGACTGAAGCATGGTTATATTCCATTCGGAATTCGCGGAATGTAAAAGTAATTAATTTGTATATATATTGTATATATAAAATAAATTCTCACCTTTAAGGTCAGCATTTATTGCTCTTATAGACTGATTTACATCTTCTTGTGTTTTGGGATTCACTGCATCCTGATTTAATTTTCCACTTTTATCAGAAATGCTTTTATTTGTAGGATTTATTACTGTCAGTGTTTTTGCCGGCTGTGTAGTTAATGGTGATAGCTGAACAGGTTTCGGTGTAGTGACTGGTGGTTTTGCTAAAATCAATTGAATATTTGGTGTTTTTAATCCAGCTGTTTTACAAGAAAATCCTTTTTTCTTTTCATAATCTTTCCCAGCAATATCATCATTATTATTGCTGGGGTTTTTGCTGTCTGAAAGGTCTAATCCAAGCCATGGTTTAGTTAAACTCGGTATTGTATATTCATAGAAGATATGTCCTTCTTGTGTAACAACAGTACGACACTTAACTAAGCCTAATTCATTTTCGTAGGGGCATTTACCGGGATTTTCACCAACACACGCCGATTGACAATTATGAAAACAAAATTTACCCCATGGTGCTATTGGACATAGAAAAAACATACTATATCCACTGAGAATATTTTTATTGCTCGAGTCTAATCTTTCATTGCTCATTGTGTTAACTTCACAACGAATAATTAATGGTTCATTGAGAAGGACTTGATCTGCCGGTGGATTAAAACTGATTGTCAACGGTGTATCTGATTCAATGTCCAATGGTTTAGTGAAAGTTTGATGCAGGCTAGTGCAGACCACTAGAAAACTTATAAATATTCTCATTGTTATATCATGTAACCATGGTTGTGAAGGCAGCATAGTGTTTAAATCTTTCTATACTTGTTCAATAGGTTTTTTTTGTTTGACTGTCTCAGCGTTTCGTGAACATTGAACCCGGCAAATTTAAATCCATGAAATGCACATTGTGTTCATTTGTACTCATTCAAAAATTTATCTGGAATTATTTATTAGCCACTACTTGATTAATCCATCCTCGGTGTTCTTTTTTTTTGCGGAGATTTAAATGTCATTTGTCAGCGGGACAGTTGTTTTTTTTTTGTAAAAATAAAAATGAAAGTGATTGATAAGTAAATATTTAATTTAAACGCTAGAAAGAATTTAGTCGACATACACCAGAGAAAGATGGTTTCACATGTTATTCACATACACACTAAATATAAAAGCAGTTTTGAAAGAGAAATTTTAAAGCAACAGCATTTAATAATATTACACATATGATGACTACGTATCACATTGTTGCATGCTGAAGATTAGCCAATCACTGGCAAGTGTAGAAAGAAATGCGTAGGCGGCCGGTATACTATTTTCGCAGTACTTGTTATAGTAATGTATACTAATAGCATTGGTAGTAACTGTGATTCCAGCAGTAAAAGGGGCTAATTTTGTGTAGATAAGACAATGGGTGATTAATTTGTGTATTTGAGGTTAGAAGAAATAGAAATGAACCGGCAGCTGATGTTCTCCAAGGACTGTGAATGTAAATACTAAGCATATCAGTTGTGCATTAATTCTTTTTAAGAGACTGTTATTGAAACATACTTTCACCCATATTAGTTTGTTTATTAGATGTATCACACAATGAAACACTATTATTATTTACTGGATGACAACGTTTCGAACAAAATTTATTACTGTTCATAATCATTTTATCAATTATATTCACACAACTTCGAAACTTGAGCTATATAGTTTTCTTTGTTCTCTCCTATTCGTCGTCGTTGGGGTAGTAGAATTTTCCAGATATCTCTGTGGACAAGTGTTGAATCATTCCTATTACACGTGTTTGCAGTTGAATCGATAAATAAAACTTGTGTTATCAATCTCTCCCTACACCCTGTTATATTAGATTTTAAAACTGTCATCTTATTCCATCCAGCCTATTGTATGGTTGTGTGTAATTGCATGTGTTGGGCGCTATAGCTGAACTATTCTCTAGATTTCTTATCTTATTCGGGGCAACTAATCTAGATTTTACTAGGTTTTCATGCTCGGCTAGTCTGACTGCCCTTGTTCTACTAGTTTGACCTATGTATTTGACCTGACAATCATTCCAGCATGGTATTAGATAAACTAAATTGTTTTGTTTTAAAGGCTCCGCAGGATTGATGCTTTAACCGACAAAGCTTGTTTCTAATTGAGTTTGTGGGGTGTTTGAATGGCATTCACTTTTATTCCTGCATTATTAAGAATTCTGCGTAAGGTGGTTTCCGAGGTTCCTTCCTTGTATGGAAGTACTACTGATGACTTAAATTCTCTATTGTTGGTGTTATCAGTATCCTCTGCATGTTTTACATGCATATCGTCAATAATATTATTATTATCACCATCACTTCTATCATTATTTATTTTATTTTTACATTTCCTTAAATATTTCCTGACTAATTTGTCAGGGTAAAAATTATAGAACTCCAGTTTCAAAGTCGTGTGATTATAACTGATGCTATGATTATGAACGGTAATAAATTTTCTTCGAAACGTTGTCATCGAGTAAATAATACTGTTTCACTGTGTGATACGTCTAATAAAGAAACTAATATGGAATTACTTACTACCACAGTGCCCAAGTTTTACATATATATTAATACTTTGACCCAGTGGAAAACATTTTGGCAACTGAAAAGATGAATGATGGAAACGATATCACTCAGTAAGGTGCTGGTGTACATACAGTTGACACATTATATTTATTCCTTTGGGCTCCAAGTGGAACATAGAGCTTCAGCAGTGCATCTCTACTTATTCTTATTCTCTATAGTCGTCTTTAGCTTGCTCTACCATCGCTCATAAGCTGTCATCTTCTCGTCGTATGATGTCCTGCATGTCACCCTCAGATTCCTAACATTTTTTCCCATTCGGGTTCCACTCGAAGGCCTGATTGGCTTGTGATGTCGCCTAACGGTCCCCTTATCGTGCGTCCAATTCATCTCCATCTCCTTCGGCTTATTCATTGTTTGGTTCGCTGATAGAGTTCCTTGTTGTAATAATAGAGAACAATAAGACCCATTCTCCAACTCGCCACTAAGAAAGACATGTACATCAACCTACCCTATATGAGTGATCGTAACAGCCTGACAACTAGGTAGAGTTTGAACGCTGCTGTTAAAAAGTCTTTTATGAAGCTAATATCATAATAATTGAGAATGTGAAGCCAATATATCCATCCATCTAAGCCCTGAGAACATGCGAAAAATGTTGTTATATCTCACTGTATTTATCAATACATAGGGAGTACTCATTCGTCTCTACAAGTGGGGGTTGGCTTCAGAGCGTATTCCTAAATAGCTTCAGAAGCAAATACAATCCCCAGAACCCATCAATGGTGAGAACAGGTGACGACCTAGCTCCTCTACTACACAGGAGACAGCACATAAAATTAACCTTTACACGTCTTTTAAACCTATCTATAGAACGTGTTTGGAGTAGGGCGTATCCTTAATTTTCTGGAAGCCCTAGCAATTGAGAAGTTTAAACTACCTTCATGCCTTCAAAAAGGATTCGTCATCAAACTAAACCTTCCTTGGTAAACTTTATTTTGATACCAGTCAGGGTAGATATACCAGTACCTCTCTCTTATTTGGTTTAGTTATCTTCATTGTTATTTCTACCTTCAATATGTCCTTTTAACTTGACCTAAGTAGTCTCACCTCTTAACTCTTTATTAATTTCATACATATACAGTCCTATGACAAGTTCATGTGTGATCAGATTGTTCTAAATGTGTTGTGCACAAATACACACTACACGATTCTGGTAAATTACGTCTTCTTACTGCTTTGTCGAAAAATGATCTGTAATAATGGCGAATTGACAGAAGTTATAATTCATGGGTCGTTGAATTCTGGTCTGAGTGACTGAATGGTCAACGATCTTAGTCCCTTAACTTGAAGGTTCTCGGTCCGACCACCGGTGTTGTTTCAGTGTGTACTACGATGAAACAGCTGTCCAGTGCTGCCTAGTTTCCACTAGTTCACTAATTGACATCAATCAGTGACCAAACCTGAAAGAAACCTGTAATAGGCCTCTCTGTCTCTCTACCGCAATAATTTGACTATTGACCTTCAGTTGATTAAATTATCTTTTACTGAATGTAAATGTTACATCATCAATTATTTTAAACTTCAGTGTTTCATATGTCTGATTTGAACAGTACACATTTTGTTTATTGGTAATTGTCTAATGGTATGCATAATCTTATAATTTATGCGCCCAACATTTTGTTGTTACTACACTTGGCTTTTTGTTTCTTTTTTGAGAAACTTCATCGGCATTACATGTGTCCGATTTGTTATAATTTTACTAACTTAATATTACAATTTATGTATTTACCATGATTCCTCTTCTTACTTATTGTTCAATGTTTTGTTTCTCCGACACACTGAAGTATTGGTTTGCAGGTCACAAAATTTCTGTTACTCCTTCGTACAAGTGTTCGTTTGGAGGGATTTGACTGGTTACAGGATATCATCACAAGCTGACACTGGTAAGAGAACCACTAGAAAACCTGGGACTACTGGACAACTATTTTATCTTAGCTTTGGACTCCTCATCAGTACGAAACCACCTGGATTTGAATCCTTTCTGATGAAGAGTTCCAAACTAGGACGAAACAGCTCTCCAGTACTCCCAGATTTTCCAGTGGTTCTCTAACCAATGTCAGCTATTGATGAAATCCCGTAACCAATCAATCAAATCCTTACAAACCGACACTTGAATATCGATGAGATGCTCACTAGCCGCTGGCGGAATGGCCGCGCAATGTATCATGAATTGACAGAAGTTAGAATTCATGAGCTGGCCTTTGGATGGGGTCCCAGTGGCTGAATAGTTTACGAGATCGCCTTGCAACCAGAAGGTCGTGGGTTCGAACCGTCGCGGTGGTTGCGTACTGATGAAGAGTCCCAAACTAGGACAAAACAGCTGGCTGTCCAGTACTTCCAGTTGGTTTTCTAATGGTTTCCTAACTGATGTCAGCTCATGATGAAATCCTCTAACAAATCAAACAAAATCCCTACAAACCAACACTAGAATGGGTTCCGTTATATAGGTCCCTTTTTAGCAGACATCTTCTTAACAAAATTAGAAAACTGTCCTCTGAAAGAGAGATGTTGACCAAGCCTGAATAATGTTGGCGTTATATAGACACGATATGCTCATCGTCTGTGACAAAATTAGGATAAACAACATTTAGTGCAAGTCTTCAATAATGTACACCCAGCAGTTAAATTCACTTGTGATGAAAAATATCAAGATAGCACCTTCTTTATCGATTTTCTTCTCGCTAAGATGTCAGATAACATGTTAAAGAGAAATGTTTGCAGAAAAACAACGTGGAGCCTACAATGTAGCCATTTACATCTTTTAATACCCACACAGGTTAAATGGAGCTGAATTCATTGTCTTAGTTATCGAATTAGACGAATACATGCCAAGGATTTTATTGAAGATAAAATGGAAAATCTTATAAACACCCTGGCTACAAAATTATTGTTTTGCTACCAATTTTGTGAATTAGTTTGTTTCTAAAAGAAGAGATATATTTAAGTGGGGTAAGGTGAAAAAAAGAAGTTTTATTTAAGAGTGCAGTTCAAAGGCGATATATCCAATGAAATGCCAAGTCGCAGGTTAATTAGATCAGTTAAGAGAACTTTCACTGTTGTAGAGCTACACGTCATTTTCTCAGAGAGACTGATACTGACAATGTGCACTAAAGATAAATTACAAATGATGATCACATCAGTGTGGGTGTGTATACAAATTCAGCTGTTCATGCAGAGCTAGTTATGAAGGTCGTAATCACAGGAATTCATAAACGAAATTATTAAACCAATAAACGGTGCCATTTTATCTCATTTAGTGGAGGGTGAACACCTCACGAAAATAGAAGAGTCAATAACACTGGTATATCAAGTGCCAAATAATTTGCCTAAAGGTATACGATTACGCCTTCTAGCCATAGCTGAACCTATAGGGAACCACAAGAAGATATTTGAATAAAGCATGAACAACATTGGTTTTTGCAGAATAGAACGGTACCATCATTGTTTATTTCGTTGGCTTCTCATCAGTTGCTTACAGGCCAAAGTCATTATTAAGTATATCTACAAAAACAATTTTAACATACTTGAGCAGATTTCATTTTAAACAAAAATCAATCAATATATGCATACAATAATAATAAACACTCTATCCCAAACAATAATGA